GAGGGGCACGCGAGGCCGGCCTGCACCCCGACGTCCACGACGGCCACACCGCTCACCTGGCTGGCGCGGTAGGTCTCAAAGGCTCTCAGGGCACTGTCGGTGAGCTTCACGTGAAACACGGACACCTTGCTGCTGTCGCTCACCCGCCCGCACGACAGCCCGTAGCTCTGATCCTCCTTCAGTGCCGCCATCTTGCGACCATTGCTACCCGGCCCCCCTTCCCGGCTCCAGAGCGGGCGCGCCGGCCACGCCCCGCCCCGCCGCCTGCTGACGTGCTGCATTATTCATGAAGCACTGCCCACGCCCTCTTCGGATCCAGCGAAGTTCACCGACGACGCCACACGGCGGCCGACGTGCTGCATTATTCATGAGACGCGGCTGGCCACGCCCCCTGCAGCCCTCACGAAGCCCATAAGTCACCGCCCCAACTTCTGCATATTTATGAAGGCGGGGTGGCCCACCTCAGGGGCGCACTTCCGCTCCTAGACTCCGCCCCGACACGCGCATAAGTCCAGGCCCCGCTCATAAATATATTATTCATAAGTTTGACTCAACCAGGCGCGTCGAAGTCCCGCCCCACCAGCCACTGATGTGATGTATTATTTATGAGGTCTGTTTGGCTTCTGATGAGTCTTAATAAGTGGAGGGGGCGGGGCCTGCGCAAAACACGTGGAGGGAGGACCCAGCAGCAGGTCGGGTGGGTGGGCGTGGCCATGCAAACCAGCGCGCGTTGAACGCTGGGTTGGACAGGTAGGGTGTAAGGTAGGTGAATAGGATTAGACCTCCCACCCTTACCCTTAGTGCTTTAAGGGGATTAGGAGAGCCGGTGAACTACGTTCATGATAAGAGATAAAATCTTTTAAGGGATAAAATTTTGGGGTGAGAGGAAGGTGAAGTTCAGGGACCTTCTGTATGTCCCTGCCCAAGTGATCCCCATGAGTTCTGACAAGGTTGTCCAGCTCCCCCATGTTTAAAAAAACGTTTTACAAGTTACAAAATTAATCCATTTAAAGTGTAAAATTCAGTGGCATTTAGTATATTTACAATTCTGTGCAGCCACTATCACTTTAATCACCCAAAGTAAACTCTCCATACCAAGGCACTCCCCGCTGCCCCCTCCCCAGCTCCTGGCAAGCACTAATCTACTTTCTGTACCTATGGATTTGCTAAATCTGGGTATTTCCTATCCATAGAATTATACATGTGACCTTGTGTGTCAGGCTTCTCTCAGCATTGTTTTTGAGCTTCATCCATGCTGCAGCCTGTTCAGTGCTTCATTCCTCTTTGTGGCCAGGTAATAATCCATTGTGTGGATTGACCATTTTGTTTATCTATTATCTGTTGATGACATTTGGGTTGTTTCCACTTTTTCACC